CTAGAGGAACCAAAGAAAAAGGAGGAGACAAACCAGAGAGAATGGAGCAGTTAAAATAATATATGGGTCCCACTTATAAGTGAATAAAATAATTTTGCATTTCAATTATGTATACGGAATTCGTAGATGGTAAAACAAAGTAACTTTCTTACTTTAGTTGCTGAGTTGGCGCTTAGTAGGCAATGACAAGGCAAGTTTGGCTGAGTTGGCTTCATCACAACCGTAGGATCCTCCATGGACAGCCTCTAGTGAGAGGTGCCATGAAAAGGATTTTTGCCCAAAGAAATGCACATGTACGTATGAACCAGCCTTAGCACAAACATTTGCACATCTTATTAGCCCTTAATAATAATTTAAATAGTTGTAAAAATGTGCAATCATTTCCAAATCTAGTTATCATGGGTATAAATGCAATTTAAACCCTACTTTCAGTGTCAAATTGGATAAAAACTTGCATTAGGTGGAAGTACGATGCATCTCACTCACAAAAAAAAAAAAAAAAAAAAGAAAAAAAAAAGAAAAAAGAAAAAAGAAAAAGAAAAAAGTGGATCTCACCAGTAGGTTCCACCATTGTGAGTGAGGTGCATTACCTTCGGCTCAAACAGGGACGGAGCTGGTATAGGACCAATATTTTATATATATGTTTTCCTATAATATGTATATATTTTTTGAAAATATGTAAAAACGTCCACCTGAAATTTCTCCTTCCCTATTGTATACTATATATGTTTCCTTGAATGTTTTTTCTTAAATTGTTTCCTTAAATTCTATACACGTAATTTATTAATTTACCTATCAATATATATATATCCGCCAATGTCTCTTTATGTATATATATACTCCATAAAGATTAATTTATATATATTTAGTGTACAATGTGCCCCCGAAAAAAAAAATTGTGGCTCCGACTAAATAAGTTTTTCTAGCTAACTAGACCATGGAAACAAGTTTAGCCAGTTGCTTAGTAAACAGGGACGAGAATCAAATCTATTCAGTCTCAAACCCCTCCTAATTAAGTACAGTTTATCTGGTTAGAGCATTCGGGGCGCGTGTAGTTGTAGAGAGATAGTGTGTTAGTGTAGAGAGATAGGGGTGGTATGCAGAAACAAATGGAGTGTCTTTTTTGTGGGTCCTACAATCATTATCTATTGGGTTCTTTACAGACGGAGTGGGGTTTGGATAATATGCTATAATTTTGTTTCTTTGTTTAATTGGCTACTTGGCTGCTGTCTTGTATCCATTATGACAATGAATCAATTGATACAAAGTAAAAAACAGACAGCAACGGCTCTTTCAACGGCATTTTTAACGACTATATTATTAACTCTATAAATACTAATTTTCATCTTCAATAATTCTCTCTCTCAATATTTTTTTTAACATTCATCTCTATGGATCCTCAACCTCTATTCTATCGCCCCCATCTCAACCAATCTCATAACTCCGAATTACCACTACAATCCAATTATAATTTGGATTCTTCAATTTTTTTTCAATCCGAAAATCCATCTCAACCCCAATACTCTTATTTCCCATTCCAACCTTCTCAATACCAACCCGTACCACAACCCCAATTTCAACCTCATTACCAATTCCAACCTTCTCAGTACCAACCATCTCAGTTCCAACCTTCTCAATCCCAACCATCTCAAACCTAACGTAATTTTAGGCGTTCGAAAACAAATTGGTTCATTGAAGAAGATGAAGCATTATGCAAAGTATGGGTTGACATTGGGGAAGATCCAATAACGGGTTCGAATCAGAAGCAAATCACGTATTGGGAACGAGTCTGTGAAAAATTTATTCGGCAACTAGGGGGCACGACGTCCCGAAATGTACCAGGTTTGCAAAATCGTTTCTCACACATTAAAAAAGTTGTTAACAAATTTTCTGGATATTACAAACAGATCCAACCAACATCATACTCCCAATTGCTTCAACGTTGAAGATGCAGTAAGTTTTTTATTTTGTAAATTTTTTAAATTTTTATTTATTTTAATTGGTAATCTAACTAATTTCATTTATTTTTTATTTTTTATAGCTTAATGAAGCAAGAAATGTATTTAATACGTCAGAAAATAAGCTATTTAAGTTGGATCACTGTTGGTGTATTTTAAAGAAATTCTATTTCCAACAGCAATGATAAAGGGAAAAACAAAAGAGCAGTGGAGATCGATATAAATGAGCCTGGGAATTTGCCATAAATTGTTCAACCTACTTCGTCAAGAGTCCAAACCAATACATCTACTCCGTCAACACCTGGAATATCAACACCAGGTTCAGTAAACCTTGGGGACGACGATTCACCTGCAATTAGTGTTGAAAGTTCGCATGGCATTATACGACCCCCTGGACGAAAAACATCTAAGAACGGTCGCAAAAAAAAATAAATAGAAGGTACAACATAACTTATTTCTAGAACAATTTAAAGATTTTACCCATCAAAGTGAGTTAATGAATGCTTTGGCAGTCGAATCTCAAAAAATGAAATTGAAAGGTACATTCGATTTAGGCTTGGAGCAAGAACGTACAAAAAGAATGGACATTGAGGCACAAAAATAATTGAAAATGATGGAATTTGAGGTGCAAAAAGAAATGAAAAAGTTGGAATTTGAGCAGAAGCAAATTGATTTCGAAAGAAAAATGATACTTAAAAATCCAAATGATGCTCCAACAGCAGCAACAAAAGCATGGATCATTGATCAACAAAATGAAATTTATACACGTTTCAGTAAAGGGGTAGTTTGTGAAGCTATGTAATGTAATTTTCTTTTTCTACCTGTGGGAAGCTAATGTAATGTAATTTTCTTTTTTTATCTGTGGGAAATTAATGTAATGTAATTTTCTTTTTCTATCTGTGGAAAGCTAATGTAATGTTTATTTATATACGTAATGGATATTTCTTTAAATAATAATTTCTTTAAATTTCTTAACAAATCTAATCGAAACAAATAATTTTTAAAATATTTTTTATTCATCAGTAATATGAAAATTATATTTTATTCGACTACAACAAATTTAAGCATCTTCATCACCAAATTGATTTCACAAATGTTCCATGAGATCTCTCATAAGATCGCCATTGTCTGATCTATTGCGAATCCTACTTAGGCAAGAGGAAATATGTGCAACCAACATTGATGTGTTTCGAACGTAATGTGGAAGGGAGATTGGGTCATCTGTCGGAGGTGTCCATTGCAAAATGTGTTCACCTTCATCTTCAATGATCATATTGTGTAATATGATGTACGTTCTTATTATCTTGTTTAGATCTTCTGTATTCCAATAAAGTACCGATTGATGCGTTATAACCCACATCATCTGCAACACGCCGAACGCTTATTCTACATTCTTCCTAACAGCTTCTTGTTTGTTAGCAAATAATTTCTCTTTGACAGTTGTTGGGTGTTGGATGGTCTGCATCAAAGTTGCCCACTTAGGATATATACCATTAGATAGGTAATACACCATTACACGTCGATGCCCATTTACCGCGTAATTAACTGGAGGCATTGAACCATTGATCATGCTCTTGAATACTGGGGAATGATCGAGAACATTCAAGTCATTGTGTGAACCAGTCATACTAAATAAAGCATGTCAGATCCATAGATTTTTCGATGCAACGGCCTCCAATATGAGGGTAGGTTTATGGCTTCTTCCCGTGTGCGTGCCATGCTATGCTGTGGGGCAGTTCTTCCATTCCCAATGCATACAATCTATAGAGCCAAGCATTCTTGGAAAACCTCTCTCTTCCCCTTCTCGAACGTGCAATGTCATCTGCATTTGGTGAGCGTTGGTACTGCTACGTATATAGAGCAATTATAGCATCACAAAACCTCTTCAAACTTACGATCGCAATGCGCTCATAAATCTTTATATACTCGTCACAAAGATCAGCTGAAATTCCATATGCGAGTATACGGATTGCAATAGTCATCTTTTGTATATGAGTGAACCCCATACGATCGAGGGCATCGGGTTTCTAAATGAACCATTCATCATATGTTGTAACACCATTCAAAATGCGAAGAAACAACTCTCATCGCATCCGAAACCTTCTACGAAATATGTTTGGTGGATAAATCGGATTTTCAACAAAGTAATCTCGGAATAGCCATTGTGCTTCCTCCTCTCGATCACATTTAATATAATTTCTCTTACAAGGTTGAAAGAATACCCACACCCTATCATGCGATAATAGTCTCCTCACATCATTCATCCTTTTTTTTATGGATTTCAAAAATATCTTCCCGATTTGAATCTGACGAATTCAATGGAGAAATAGACTCGGAGACGGGTATATCTCGTGACGATGAAGCCATTATTTTTTTGTATAAGAAATATGAAGACTCAAAGAACAGAGAATGAACTTGAGAATGCGAAGAAGTAGACTTGATAATTGAAAAAAGATAGAATTGAAAAAATTTAGAATGAGTGGTTTATATAGAAATTGAAATAACAGATAATGGATTTGAGAATGAAAAGAAGTGGACTTCATAATTGAAAGAAGATATAATGAGTGGTTTATATAGAAATTGAAATATAACTATTAGGAAGAAGACAAAAAATTATTAAATTTAAATTCAAAATTTTAAATTAAATTAATAAAATAATAATGAAATAATTGAATTCCACACCATGAAACACATGAATAACAAAAAAATAAAGTTTCACATCGTCACTTTTTAAGTTATGTGAAAAGGTAAATAGATAACCTTTTATCCCCGCAGCACTTGCTCTTAGTAGCTATTCAGTCTCTTTTTTTTTTTTCTTTTCTTTTTTTTCTTTTCATGATTTAAAAATAAAATAAAATAAAACTACTTTGAGAAGTAGATGGCTTTAGCACAGTAGCTTTAGATCACATGCAACGCGTAGTCCATCCAATTCGGATAAGAGATAAGATACCAAACAACATTCTGTCCAATGAAAAATGAGCAAACTTAACACCACCACCACTGACAACCACAGGTTGGTGAGCAACAGATATTCAAAGCCTAGTCTGAAATCTCTCTCTCTCTCTCTCTCTCTCTCTCTCTCTCTCATTATATATTTATATATGTAATTGTGTATCCATTGAGTTTTTGTTCATCACAAAAAAGGGTCCAATGGCTGCTGCTTCTTCTACAATGACCAGCCAGCTGAAGAGCAGCTTTACTGCTTCTTCCATAACAAGACTTGTTACTCCCAAGGGTTTATCTGGAGCTGCATTCAGAGTCTTACCTTCCAAGAGAAGATCTTCATTCACTGTCAAAGCTATCCAGGCAGACAAGGTACTCAGGACACACACACACACACACATATTAGATGTTTAAGGTATATATTGCTTGAGAATATATATTTGGTTTTTCAACATTAATTGGCTGGCTTCATTTGAACCCCATTATGGATAAAATTTTGTTCATTGATTAGTTGGTATTTTTCCTTAATTTACATTATTGCTTTTAATTTTATATGTTAATTACCTCAAAAGTCTGAGTTCTTTGGAAGTGGCTAAAATTATACTTACTATATACCGTAATCTAATTAAAATTGTTAAGTCAGTCATGATTTTTTTTCTTTTCATCATACCAATTACATAAGCTTCTAATGACTATTAATTTCATTTTCACTACATGGACCGTATGAATTGAGAGGATATTTATTATATTAGGATTAATTCCACCAATTTTTACATATTTTAAAGTGATTTTACCTAATATAATTTAAGTTTATTGATGTTAGGGTTTTATCTTATAAAATCAAATGAAACTAGGCAAACACATAATTAATCTATAAATTATCCTATAATTTGAGATATCTAGCATTCCTCAAATTTAATACCATTTCTAATATACAATAAACCTGTTAAGAATTGGAGACAAACATTGCATCTAAGTATGATGGACAACTAATTGGCTCAAAAACTTGATCATTTTATCCTCTGAGCAAGGTGTAATGCAATATATTAGATGACCAATTGGTTCACACAATTAATTAAGCTCTTTAGAATTGACTAACAATGTAAATCAAGATCTAACAAATTATTTTTTGGTCCTTTTTATAATGTTAATGGAATTAATGATTTTTTTTATTAATTACTAATCCTTATTATTTCAATTTCATCTTTGTGTCAGTGTTTGCTAGCTCTATAATTTAGCAAAATACTTGCCTCCTAGAATGCCAATACATACCTTCTCCTAGTAATGGACGTGTTATGAAAAAATTGGACCATATTAGAATGAGTTAATGAATATTTTTTATAATTGTTCGGTGATAAATTATAGGATGCTTTAACAGGCTAGTGGAAAATATATATATTATGATTCATGACATATTGGTATGAGATTTACTATTTCATCCTTGGACATTGAACAAAAGAAGAAATCTCATTTTGAATTGTGCAGCCAACTTATCAAGTCATCCAGCCCATCAATGGTGACCCATTCATCGGAAGCCTCGAGACTCCGGTGACATCGAGCCCATTGATCGCCTGGTACCTCTCCAACCTCCCCGGCTACCGGACGGCGGTCAACCCACTTCTCCGGGGCATTGAGGTGGGCCTGGCCCATGGGTTCCTCCTGGTGGGCCCATTCGTGAAGACAGGCCCATTGAGGAACACACCCTATGCAGGTGGCGCTGGATCACTAGCAGCAGGAGGGCTAGTTGTGATCCTGAGCATTTGCTTGACCATATATGGGATTGCATCATTCAAGGAAGGCGAGCCATCGACGGCCCCTGGGCTGACCCTGACCGGGAGGAAGAAGGAGCCCGACCAGTTGCAGACCGCTGATGGTTGGGCCAAGTTCACTGGTGGGTTCTTCTTTGGTGGCATCTCTGGTGTTATTTGGGCCTATTTTCTTCTCTATGTTCTTGACCTTCCTTACTTCGTTAAGTAGATTAACATTTGTTCTCTCTCTCTCTCATTTGTGTTTGTACTTGGTGGAATCCATGTTGAACATGAAAGTTGTATATTAAAGGAGTGATTAATCACTTTCAAGGATGGTTATGGTGTGTGATTTTCTTTATATTAATTACTCCATATTTTAGTCATGGGCTTAAATGAATCAAATATTGATTGGATCAATGGTTTGTAAAATTACATTAAAGTTGATTTCTCATGCAAGTGGGCCCTGCCTTTGGGCCTTTTACCCTAATACCCTTGTCTTTCGTTTTGCTCTGTTTGCCCCATCTGGGCCTCTTCTAGATGATATGATCTATTCGGAAGCGGAGTGTTCGAATTCTTATGTGTGTGTGTCTATATATATATATATATATATATATATATAGAGAGAGAGAGAGAGAGAGAGAGAAAGAAAGAGAGAGAGATGGGGGTAAGAATGTTATTAGGGGCTAGTTTGTTAGTGATTAGATGGGAGTGAAAGGATATAAGGCTAAGGGCTCGTTTGATATAGTTTTTGTTTCCGCTGTTTGACATAGTTTTTGTTTCCGCTTTTACACAGAAGAAAAAGAGAAGCAAAAGTTATTACTTCTATTTAGCTTATTTGTTAGTGTTTGAAAACTATATTTTAAAATAGTTTTTAATGGTAAAAGAGTTTTTCAATCTGTTTGGCAAAATATGTACGAAAGCTCTTTTACTACTAAAATAATTATTTTGTCCTTAGATAGAGTATTTTTTTAAATTATTGTTTAATTTGTTTTTTTATAACTCTTGTTGTAAAGACATACAAATAAACCACTCATGCCATATGCAACATAATAATTAATAATACTAGTAATAACAATAAGAATAACAATTAAGAGATTGCAAAAAAACTATTTAACGATTTAGAAAATTTTGTAATTGAACATTTTGATTCTACCAATATATAATAATAAGAATAATAAAATATTAAAGGTTTCTAATTTTTCTTCCAAAAAGAAAATAATTAATCTCATGCTTATGACTTTCCTAGAATAATATTATATTGTTGTTTCCTTATAATTACAAACTTAATTATATTAACTTAATTATATTATAAGGAAATTAATGAAAACGAAGAAAGAAATATATTACTACGGTCAACGTTAGATTGTAATACAGGAAAGATCTATGACGGTGAATTAATCTAAAATTAATCTAATAAAAAAAGAAATGCTATGCGGATGAATTAATCTGATAAAAAAAAAAACATAATAACTTTATTTTTGGGTAAATAATTGGAATCCATTGTTGCACAAAAGGGAATTCAATTTGAAGGTGAAAAAAAAATTAAAGATTTGTGACGATAGGATGCAGCGTTGAAATATGGTGATTACTCCTATGGAAGCTAGTGATTGTTCATCGAGGAGTTTCGAAAATATTTAGAGAAAATAGGAGAAAAAAAGAAGAAGAAATAAGCAAGAGAAGAAATACCAAGGTCGAATGATAAATTGGAAGATTGAAGGAGTAAAGTCACTGCTTATGTCTCGCAATAATCTTCTTCAATTTTTTTCTCTGGTTGAATGTTTGATGGATCGTTCTTGTGAGTATGAAGGGATATGTACATTGTCAGAGAACACCGATGTGAGTTTTTTTTGAGACTAGGGTTTGGAAATAGAATTAAGGGGTTTTTTTTTTTTATAGGGATACGGTTGAAATTATAATTTGTTATGAGATAATATAAAGGGTACACTTGTCATTTAAAAAGTTTCATTAATACTCCCAAAACTCTTCCTGTGTATTTTTAGAAGAGCGTTTTGGAGAAACTGGAGGGTACCAGCTTACCAGCTTCTCCAAAACGCTCTTTCAAGACCCAAAAGCTCTTGAAAAAAATTAGCCAACCATTGCTCAAAACGGCTTCCAAACTCAAAAGTCAAAAATAGCGTTTAAAAAATCAATCCAAATGGGACCTAACTCTCAAATATAAGGAGCAATTTAACCAATCGAGTAACAAGACACTTAAACCGAGTTTTGTTAAGAAATAATATTATAAAAACGTGACATTTACTTGAACTTTTAATAATTAAATGTCTCATATTGTCATTAATGTTTCTTCCTTATGCCACCCATGACCACCTTTCATTGGACTCTTTCTAAATCTTATCATTACGCTTTTTATATCACTTTTCCCTCTTTCTTGTACAGAGGTTCTCTGTAAAATTGCAAAATAGTCATGTTAGATAACCTAGCTTACATTGATTTTTTTTTTTTTTTTTAAATATTCATAAAGTACCTCACTTGTTAAAAAACCAAGCACGGACTGTTCAACAAATTTAACGAATGATCAAGGTAAAGAAATAGATGAAACATTGGCTAGACAAGTACAACTAAAAAGATTTTGAATTTTTCCGAAATCTATTTCAGATTATTTGGAGCAGTTATATAAATTCTACATTTACATTTCACTATACCTAAGGGCATGGCATGGCTTTGTTCAAATTGCATGTTACCGTATCATTCCTTAATATGTCTAACAAGTAATAAATCACGTTAACTATGGCATTTTTCTTCTTCTAATATTACACTTAAAAGATCTTTTTCGTACATGTCTAAAGCATTTTAATTGACTCTTTCTCATTTTATCTCCAACTGATATTACTCCAATGGTCCAAGCATCTCATGAACTTTATTATTTTTTATTACATTCTTTCTAATCTTACTCTACACCCATCTCAACGTTCAAATTTCACCGCACTTACTTTATACATATATTGTTCCCTAGCAACCCAACATTTTGACCTCGGCTGATCAAATTGCTATACTATAGAACTTTAATTTCCTTCAAATCTTAAGGAGATACGACAGTACCCTCTTTCATTGTGAATATTTGAGCTTAAATAATGAACATGTTCACTTTTTTTTTTTTGTTCTTTGACTATAAATACTAATGAGGATGTAGTGGAGATTGAGAATCAAGAAGTATAAAAAAATTGAACATTTTCATATTGGTCATGACTATAGTTTTAGTTTGGCTATCAAACTACGTAATGTAATCCTCCTCCTTTATTTAGACTTGGAGCGATTGTGTAAAAATGTATATATTTGGGGAGTTTTTTAATTTTATTTTATTATTTATTTATTTTATTTTTGAATGTTAAAAAGAAACACTCTCATACACTCCCTTATTCCTACGAAAACTTAAACCCTCGACCTTTTACAAAGAACTAAGAGTTATATCACGGTTCAAATATTAATTTAGAATGGTTCAAAGTGCGATGACTAACTTTAAAACATTATACAAATGAATAAGGTTCAAAATAAACTACGTCAGCTAATTAAACAAAAATAAATAAATAAGAAGTTGTAAAAGTAATTGTTTTTAGCATTTTCAGTACCAAATGACGTAGTGCACTATCAATTAAAAACTACTAATCTAGAGAATGCATTTCAAGTTTCAAGAATTAATAATTATTACTAATTCTTTAGCCAGCTATCCTCTTCAGCATGATCAAAGTAAGTATTTAGTTATTTAAGATATTATTTTGCATGAAATACAAAATGGAGTTGTGGATATGAGAATTCAATTTTGGAAAATAAAGTACTCCGATTTGGATAGAGAGTGCGCTAAAATGAGTGAACTTACCAAAAGAAGAAAATATTGGAGTGCAAGGACTGCCATCATGGAAGTTAAGGAAATTGAGGGTACTTTCGTGATTTAAATATTGAATTAGGGATAATTATTACACAACAACACAGTCGTACTCCAATAATTTTAAAAAAGGTTAGGCCCACACCACAACATGACGCGAGATATCCACAACCCATATGGCCATCCACTTGGGACCACGCGCACTCATTCATTCCAGTGTAGACCTCAGTTTCACTATTTTTGAATTTTGGTGGGAAAGAGGGATGTCATTCCTTATATATATATATATATATATATATATATATATTATAAATAAGGGTATTTTAAAGAAATTAATTTAAAATTTATTCCATTTTATTTTTTATTTGGTCTAACCAAACACAGAAATAAAAATAGTCATTTCATTCCTATATCATTTTATATGTACGTAACTAAATAATGGAATAAGAATGATAATTTCATAGGCACTTGCATTTTACCAAATTAGGCTTATGAGGAATGACTGTGCATGTTGTTATTATTTGGAAGGAAAAAAAGAAAATTTTAATGAAATAGAACTTAAATTTTATTTGATTTCTGTTTTAATAAAATGAAAAAATTGCTTCTATAAAATAGATTGTATGAATAGCTTTTGAAATGATTATAAGAGTTTTGAAGACAATTATGTCATTTTATTTTTCAAAAAGGATAAGTAGGGACGGACCCAGAAAATTGTGTTAGGGGCAATAATGTAAATTTTTAGTAATTTCAGTGGGGGCAATAGGGAAATTTTAGAGGTATATATAGCAAAATTAATAAAATAATAAGGTATAATATTTTAAAAAAATAAGGGTATTTCAATGAGATTAATTTAAAACTTATTTCATCCCATTTTTTATTTGGTTTAACCAAACATAGGAATGAAAATGATCATTCAATTTCTGTATCATTATATGTCTTAACTAAACAGTGGAATAAAAATAACCATTTCATTCTCCCTTCCATTTCTTTTAAGTGTAACAAATTAAGCCTAAATAAATGATTGTGCATGTTGTTATTATTTGGAAGGAGGAGACGAAAATTTTAATGAACTTAAATTTTATTTGATTTTTTTGTGTTTAATAAAATGAAAAAAAAAAAAAAAAAAAAAAATTGCTTCTTAAAATTATTTTGGAGTTGAAGATAATTATGTCATTTTATTTTTCAAAAAGGATAAGTGCATTACAGGAGAAAAAAAACAGTGTAATGTCAATCATTTCATAAAGTGTGATGGATGTGAAGATGAATGATAGTTATTTCACTTCTAACAAATTGTTTTGGATGAAAGAATTGGGAAGTGAATAATAATTATTATCTAAAAATAAAAGCAATGTTATATTGAGTAATGATCTCTTGCTGTGAACAAGAAATTTTCCTGTTAGATATAGTTTAAGTGTAAAAGAGTAATTACCAAAAAATATAATAATCATATTCAACGGTCACCAATCTTGGTGTGAATAAATTCCTTGCTCACGTGTAAGCTAGAGATCATTTATGATGATGATGATGATGATATATATATAT